AAAGGTCCAGTGTGTCAGATTCATAGTGGCGTCTAGCAGTGAGGATTACAGATTGCAACTGTCATAAACTTCTCCTGGTCAGAATTCCTTCAGTGTTCACTGTTCAGGAGGTTTTTACTGAATTACCCTCAGAGGCCTCCTCCTCTCCAAAACAAACAGACCAGCTGATTTAAACCAGGAAAAACGCGTCAAAAAGCAGTTTCACATTAAAACACCAGTGTTTCTAGGACGTTGCTTGGCATGCTGGAGATGGCCTGTCAGCCTAGCGCCTGCTCATCTGTGGAGGTGCTCACCTTTCCTCTCTGGTAACTTAAAAACCCGATGTTCATGACATGTTTATTTCTGTATAAACAATAGATTTTGTGATTTATAATATTAAACACAAAGACTGAATAAAATAATTGACATAGCTACCATGATATGACACACTGGTTTGTGGACTCTCAGATTCTGCATTACGGCCGTCACCATCTTGGTTTTTGGAGTCAGAAGTGACCATTTTTGGGTGAGAGGATGGAGCTGTGGAGGAACGAGGGGTGGCTATGACATTGATGAGGACACTATCAGCAAGCAGCCTGTCACTCAAAAAGGCCCCGCCCTTAATTATGTGTAACTTTAGGACTTAATAAAATGTAAACAGGTGAGTTCTATAAAACTTCAGCCCTGTGCAGTTGTCATGAATGTTGAAATTAGCCACAGAGACCAAACAGGCTTTTTGCATTCCAAAAAGAAAACTAGAAAACTTTTTTGGTGTATGCACCAGGCGCCATCTTGGTGTCCAGGAACTGAAGCTGCCACTAACACAACAGCAGTTTTCGATACTTCCCTGACGACATCATTTTTCAGCCCCAGAGGTTGAGGCTTGATCAAACATCAACAAGCTTCAGCTGCTCACATATGCTGCTAAATCTTTCCTTCAGAGATAGAAACATGACATTGAGTCATTTTTCACGTTTGGAATTATCCTCCGACAAAGAAGTTTAGGTCAGACAGTCTAATGTTCACCCAAACCTCTTCTAGATTACTTAATGATAAATGTTTATGTTTAACTTGCTAAATATCACATCCACAATTGCAATGGTTTAAAACCATTCTTCCCTTTTTAAAAAAAGGAACTCTGTGAATTTATGGATGCCATTAAATATTCAAAGACCTCTAAAGCTACGAGGACTGTGCTATTATGTGACCTTTGTGACCTCCCAGGACTGATGTTGGGGCATCATTTGACTGAAGTTGGTGCTGTGAGTTCTTGTTAACCTTGTTCATTTCCCTCCTCCTCTGCCTGCACCCCTCGGCTCTGTGCTGCTGGAGGTGTATTTCGTGTGTTGTATGTGTGTTGTATGTGAACTGTATGTGACACTGTCTTTAGCAAAACAAATAAAACATAAAAAGGAGCACATCACTGTTGTTGAGAGACATGTAAAGCTGCAGACACATTCGCCCCCCCACTAGTACAAGACAATCCCACCAGCGCCACGCTCATCTGAACTCTATGACCAATCGGATACTACGTAACGCCTCACGTCATTACGCATACGTACGCTACAGGCAAACAAAACGGAAATGGAGCGGAGTTTAAAAAGCATTCTACTGTAGCCTTTAAAATGTCTTTTTTACCAAACTGTGTGGCTGCACTTTAACCTGTGTCTTGATCTGTGTCAACACTGGATAATAATAATATTAATAATAATAATAATAATAATAATAATAAAAAGTTTTATGGCATTCATTCTACTATTATGTATTTATTTCTTAATATTTTACACAGTTTTAGGAGTTGAGACATACAACAATTCATATCCCATCCATTTTTATTTATGCGCTGCTATCAGATCGGTACTTATTATGGGCAGATACCAAAGGTTCAGGGATCAGAATCAGTATCTGGAAGGAAAAAGTGGTATCGGTACATCTCTAGAATAAATGAGACCACATGTGGCAAAAATCCACTTTAATTCATAATACACAAAGACATGATTCACTTTATAAGTAACGACATGATGCCTCCCCATTACACTATCCTGACCTTAACCACCTCTCTTTCAACGTAATACTTCCAAGCTAATGTAAGCTAAATGCTAACTTAGCATTAGCATAAGTAACTAGATGTAGCCTTCCCATTAACCCCTGCCTCCTGACCTTAACCACCTCTCCTTTAACATGATACTTCATAGCTAGCTATTGGCTACATTAGCATCTGGGCAAAGAGGGCTGATTGTTGATTGACGTGTCGGTATGGTGGCCGGGTAAAGATGCTAGTGGGCGGGTCGTGTGGCTGCCCATGCTGCAGTTATAGCACATCTGTGACATGTAGCCTTCCTGTTACCTTAACCACTTCTCTTTCAATGTAATACTTCCAAGCTAATGTAAGCTAACTGCTAACTTAGCATTAGCATAAGTAACTAGATGTAGCCTTCCCATTAACCCCTGCCTCCTGACCTTAACCACCTCTCCTTTAACATGATACTGTATAGCTAGCTATTGGCTACATTAGCATCTGGGCAAAGGGGGCTAGTTGTTGACTGACGTGTAGGTGTGGTGGGCGGGTCACGTGGCTGCTCCAGCTGCAGATCTACCTGCCGGGCCGTTGTTGTGGTACCGGACTGAGATGCGGAAGCACTGACACACTGCAGGTGTTGTCACTGTCAGGAGGAGCTCATCAAGGACCAGGACAGAGTTTACAGAGCATGTACGGTCACCAGTTCACAGTGTACCGAGTGAGGTCACCATGTTTGGTCTTTATTTGGCCCTCGGTGTCACAGTGTGAGACCCTGCAGGACAGACCAATGAGGCCCGAGCTGCTGGGGACCCGCCAGCCAATGACACACGACAAGGGACAAAACAAAGTGACACACGGTGACGGAGCTGTGTGTGGAGGGACAACTGCGACAATGCGCGAGCAGCTCCTCAGAGCTCCACAGGTCTCCTCACGAGTCCCCCCTCAACACACACACACACACACACACACACACACACACACACACACTTCACTCCTGCTAGCTGAGGTTAGCCACTCCAGCTAGCATGCTCGGTGGTTAGCCAACAACATGAAGACAGCAGTCACTGACCCACCTGTTTTTCGTCCTCGCAGTCCACCTGAGTGTCCGGGTCCAGGTTCTCTGTTGACATGGTGTGAGTGTGGTGGACAGGCGCGTGCCCCGTCTGTCAGACAGCTCGAGGAGATGAATGTACGAGGTACCGTGAGATGTACCTGTGCTGGATCTAATCCTCCTTTTCTGGACACGACTGCTCCCCAACAAAAATGGCGTAACGAGATGTGACATCACCAATGAGGGAGGAGGGCGGGGGTTCCTACTTGTGACTGACATATACAGTAACCAATAGGCGAGCAGCTTTGGGTCGCGTAGAGCCAATGTGATGCGATCAACAGTGTCGTCTCTGTGATTGACAGCTCGTCAGCCAATAGGGTTACAGAATGAGACTGGGGGCGATGCGGGGGCCGCACTGCATCAACACAAAGCACCTCACAACACAAAAGATAAATTATCGATATAAACAGAGTTTCTCAAAATATTACACAGAATTTATCCAGTTAATCTTCTGTTGGACAAACAGGCTGAATATGTTTGACCTGTGAGATCTCTAGTGACTATCTCTCACTTATTTTGTCGCTGTAGACACAACATAGTGTTCTGGACTGATGTTGACAACTTTATAAAAAAGAAATAAATGTTGATATAAATATGTTGGATACAATGCTGCATTTGAGTCAAGATAAGACTGGAAATAACATGTTTTACACCCCACAACTTTTTATCGTCATTTCTGGAAAATATTCATAAGAAAAATTGGTCAGAAACTAAACCAACTCTCCTGCACTTTATTAATATACTTTAACACTTCAGCATCATGTTATCAAATGTTAAGGACAGAAAAAGCTGTGAAGACCTTTAAGTTATTCAATGAAAAAAACCCAACTCTGGCTTTATATGATGTAAATGTGTCATTATTTTTTGTTCTGATTTACCAATTTGCATTTCTGTAAATGAACAATAAAGAAATGATAAAGTAAGCAAATATATAAATATGAAATCATTTTTTTATATTTTATCAATGCAACATGCTGGTTTTTGAATTTAATGCACTCTGTGTTGTTACAATGAGGATTGGCATTATTATCATTATTATTATTATTTTGAGCTTAAAATAGTGGTATTTCATCAAAACCACTTTATTTTACCTTTCATTTAAAATTTGGCCAAAATGTGTCTGTTTGCATGAACTAAGCATTTGCATGACAAGAGTCAAGAGCTTTTTACGACTCTAAGGTTTGACTCAAAAACATTACGGGTTAAAAGTTTTAGGGTAAAGTTTAAAAAAAAAAAAAAATCTAATAGCCAATTCATGGTGACAGGAGGGTCACGTTTTCCCACAGTCATTTAGGGAGGGTCAAGGAAAAATATTTGAGGCTTTGGAGAGGGTTGATATTTATTTTTATTTAACCCATTTTAACCAGGTTAGTCCCGTCGAGACTGACAATCTCTTTCTCAATAGAGACAACAGAATACAAAGAAGTTTCAGCCAAACAACAACACACAATAAAAATCTTTAAGATCTACAGTGACATGTTGACATATTAGGACACATACACACAATGACAAGATTCATTCAATCTTGTTCTTATGAGAGCTTTAAAATCAGGCAGAGACCAGTTCATGTAGTTCAACTCTTTTTAAATATTATTTTAAGAGAGCGGAGCAGAGCTCATTAAAGCTTTGTGTCCCAGCTCAGTCTGAACACAACAAAACTAAATCTTAAGATCCCAGACTGAGCTACAGTCACATCTTTGATCTCAGATCTCTGTGCAATCAGAGTACAAATGTACGAGGTCAGTTTGACTTTATATAAATATAAGTTACACCCCTCCTCCTCCTCTGATAAATAAAGAACAGTCCTTTATTATTATTATATTATATTTCAGCAGTACACATTGGAAGAGCTCTCTGCTCTCTGATTGGCTGTTGGCCGTTAATAGGACACTCAGCGGGAACGTGTATTGTATGCTAACACACAGTTAGCTAGCTAACCTCCACATCTTCAAAATAAGTGATTCTGCTGTATTGTTGTTTTTTGTTCAGTGAAATATAGTTTTATTGTTGCCACGTGAGTACGAGCTCCTTGTCGACAGGTCAGTGTAGTGACAATACAAAGAGTCAGCTTCACCTGAGAGTAGCACAAAGTGTTTTAGCTGCTAGCTGCCGAGCTAACAGGCTAATTAGCTAGCTGCGGTGTTCAGTAATGTCACGATGCTAAAGGAGCTAGCTGAACTTGTTAAAGCATCTTGTCTTTGTTCTTCACAGCCTCTGTGTTTCTCACCGCTGAGATGGCCTGTGTGCAACAAGTTAGAACTTCACAGGTAAAGTTTCTTCACACTGACTCACTAACATAATGTAGATTCAGTGTTTTGTGATGCTAGTTAGCTTGTTGGTTAGCCACAGGGCAAGTACAATACAGTTTTAGTCTGTTTGTGCTGTGTCACATTCTCTCCCTGTTTTTAACAGTAAGATTTGTTTTTGTAAGTATATTATGCACATTATGATTACATTTACATTTTATGCTACTTTATACCTGTGCTTTACTGAAGAGGTTGGTGGAGACACATTAAGCAGGAGGTCTGGAGGTTCTCACAGGAAATACTGAGTGTCACATTTTATTTCTTGCATTCAGGTGAAGTTTTATGCACCAGGTTATGGTGGGATTGTCTTAATTTTAATGTAAAGGAAACCAAAATTCAGGTAGCAGGTGATAGTTGGAAATACAATGGAATATAAATAAGTCAGGCTCACAGGCGTTCTGTGTTGCTTTCAAATGTGTTTCTCCTGTAGATCAACTTTTCTCAGGTAACGTTATCTCAGGTGAGTCAGCACAGGTGTAAGCAGAGCTCTGCAATCCTCTTTAATGTCTTTTGTTTGGGCAAGTAGCCTCTTTAAATGTGCCATCTATTCACAGCAATGATAAATTAATTTATTTTAATTAATGCATACATTTTAACAGGTCATATGTGTTTCAGCAACATTTCTGCCCATGTTCCAAAACCTCCAACAACATATCCCACATATCTGAGTCCTCTGACAAGTCCAGAATAAAATTTTAATATTTTGAGGAAAAAATTGTAGAATTATGAAAATTAACTGGTAATTTAATGAGAATAAAGTCATGATGAGACAAGAAAAAAGTCTAGGTGCCCTCTAGTCGGCTGTGCGTTAGTTATTACTTTGCTGTTTCCCCTTCATTCCGTCTGACAGACACAGAACCCTGTTAAGGTCTCTCTGATGGAGGTAAAGTTTTAGCAGCTTTGCACTGCTCTTCATTGGAGGAGGAATACCGTAAGGATCAGGCATGATAAGGGATTGTTCCATATTTAAAGATAAAATGCACTGTCCCTTACTGAATCAATATCCCCAACTTTGTGCACAGAACTGTCAGAATGAAAATAATGCAAACAAGTTTGCTAAAATTTTGGTAGAGACTGTCCATATGTAAACCTACACAGGTGACTTTGCTCGATTAATTTGAATGTTTGAATTTATTATTCTGCAGATTTTATATACTAAATATAATATTCATCTTCAGCTAGTGTACAGATGGGCTTGTGTAGCATGTTTCACTGGTAATTATCGTCCTCTGATTGCATCCTGGGGTAAGATGTGATTCCTAACATCAGGGGTCTCATTTATAATAGTGTGTGGGATCCATAACTAAAAATTACATACGGACAAAAGACAAAAATGTTGTGCGCCAAAAAAATATTCGACAATCTCTACAATCAGACTTCACCAACTGCGTCGCCGATTTCCCGTCTCCAAAATTTTCACAAGCATGGGTCAAAGTTTCTCCAGTCAAGTCTGTTTTTATGTGTGGCATACGCCTCTTTCAGGCCTCATTTTATGTGTACGCAGTGTTTATAAATGAGACCACAGGACTGACATATTTTCACTTTTGCAAAATACTAATTCCAATAAAACCTCTAAAAAAATCCCTCACAACACAGATTTTGTAAAGCAAACCAATATTCAGGTGTATGAACATGACAAGAATCCTTTGATGTAACATTTGTCATATTAATATTGTGTGTGTATGTTTTATTTTTCTAAGACTTCAGAGAGATAATGTGACATCACCAGTCGTTGAAATTGGAAATGAGTATTTTTATGTTGTGAAATATGTTGTGGGCTCACAGGTTCAGATGCAGCTGTTGGCTGCTTTCTGGTGTTTGTGTTAAGTGTGATGAGTCAGCAGCACTCAGTATGTGATTAATCTGTTTCCCTCATGCAGGACACTCAGCTGTTGCCTAATCAGGTCCTATCAGAGCAGCAGTCCTTGGTTGTTATAAAGAAGCTTCTGGCCATCGCAGTGTCTGGCATCACCTACCTGCGGGGCCTCTTCCCAGAGAAAGCCTTCGGGAGCAAATATGTTGAAGGTTAGATCACACGTGGACATTTATTTGTCTGCACATCACACTGCTGTCAGAGTCTATTTTTACAAAGAGGATTTTTACTTCCCCTTTTTTCCTTCCCACAGATCAGAAAGTGATGATCCTTAAAGAGGAGCGCAGCTGTCCTGGGGCCAATCAGATTGTTCAGTGGTAAATAACAACAGCTTGACCCTTGCTGACCACCGTAAATGATTAGTGTTTCTCAGGAAAACAGTATCCACTGTAGGTGGAGACATGTTGGAGCATGTGTGTCACAGATAGTTGGATGTGTGTTTTTCAAATTCTTCCAGGATGCAGGGATGCTTCGAGGCCATTGAGAAAAAATATGTAAGTTATTTTCAACTTTCTCCACAAGTCAGAAGATTTGATATGAACATCTGATCGCGTCAGTATAAATTAGACAGTATGAAGGGCCATACACATGCTGTGTGTAGGAAAACACAAGGTCGGTTGCTGGGCGCGACTCTCGTGCCTATTCTGTGCCGACTTTCAGGGGCATGGAGGCAGGTTGCGTCTGAGGTTGCTAAGTGACCATAAGCAGCACCGTATCATAGCCTGTTGACCTAAAATCCTGAGTGCAGAGCTGATATTCTTGTTTTTTAAGTGTGTATAAGGCCAAAAATGTTGTCCATGGGACAGATGTGACGCTCTGATAGCTCTGCACTGAAATGATCAACTTCTCCATATTCATCACAGACTGATACTTACGGAAGAAAGGAAAAATATCTGTCAGCTTGGTTGTTCCTCGCCACCTGATGTGGTGTGCGTTTCTGTATTCCAGAAGCTGAACTCTGTTTATCTCAGGCCGCAGCGGTCGCACCCTGAAAAATAGGTGTTTGGGAATGCGTGCAAGCTGCGACGGCGTTCGAGTGTGCCTGCTGAGCGTCTACATTGAAAACTGTGAATTTGAGGCTACATAAAACACGGCATGTGTACAGCCCCTAAACAAACATAAACCTGCAGAATAGGTCCTAATGCACATTTATTCCGCGTGTCTAAAATTAACTTATGTGATCAAAGTCATTATTGTTTTTCCCCTCCAGCTGCGAGCAGTCATCATGTCTGTGAGTAATCTCTGACTTCTTCTGTGTGTGAATGTTGAATGTTTTATTGTGATGAACACGGATACCATAAGGATACCAGGAACTGTAACTTTACACACTGTGTGAGCTGATGTTGTGCACCATGACGTCTTCTCTGTAAGGCCTGAGAGATTTGAGCTGCTGATGTTTTCTTTTTCTGTTTGGCCCTTTTTCAGCTCTACACTGACCCAGAGAACCCGCAGGTAACATACAGGTCGTCTTCCTCTCATTAACAATGCTGCTGCACAGATAACGAACTGTTTTTATGATCATCACGTATCTCATTATATGACACCTGTCCTGACTCGTCTTTCAGAAAGTGACCGAGTTTTACCAGTTCAAGATCAAATACACACCAAAAGGGGCCAAGATGGACTTTGAAAGGTGAGTTTTATTTTATTGACAGTTATGAGAAGTTGGTAAGACAGTGAATAAACCTCAGAACAGTTCAGAGAACAAACAAAAGCAAAGTACAACTATGAATCTTCTCTAAATTGGCATCACATTTACAAACCAGGAAATAACTTGATTTTCTGTCTTGACTCAGTCAGTGCATGAATTAAACACCTTAACGCCTTTAATTGCTTCAATTCACACGTCTTTGTAGTTGGAAAAATGTTTTCACACTGTAGGAGAGCACTCAACTGTTTCTGTCACTACATCAGATCCAGATATGAGTGAAACACTTTGATACTGGAGCTGTGCAATGAGGAGAAAATCACAGATCACAATATGTTTTACCAGATACGTCTAGAGATGATACACGTCTCATGGTGGTCACTTCCTGTGAACCTGTAGCTTTTTACCATGTTACAGAGCAGAGCGTTGACAGTAGGTGTCTGTTTCAACTCCTCTTGTCGTGAGTATTTTGTCTGAACTGGACTTTACACACCTGAACATGGAAGATATTGAATTCAGTGACTTATAGCTGCAGCACTGCTGGGTGGCAGAGTAGTTTGAGTCTCTCCAGTCATGAACAGGCTCCTCCCACCTGACCACCTGTAATGTGTGACTGCACTTTTTAATCCAGCATCCACAGTGGTTGATTAACCTCAGAACATCCCAGAAACCTTCATGTAACCACCCAGTTTCTCTCCCTGTTGCCTGGCAAAGTGTCTTCATGTCTCATCCTGCCTCTTTTCCTCCTCAGCACCAACAACAACAACAACATGTCGACCATGTCATGTGGCAACACAAAGAAGGCGAGCATCCTGCTGGTGAGGAAGCTCTACACTCTAATGCAGAACCTGGGTCCTCTGCCTGACAACGTGTGCCTCAACATGAAGCTGGCTTACTATGACAACGGTAACTCACGAACACACACAGTCATCAGGATCTCTACGTGAGTGCAGCATGAATTTAAAGCTTTGCACTTTGTCTGTCCGTTTGTCTTCCAGTCACTCCTCAGGACTACCAGCCGTCAGGCTTTAAGGAGGCCGATGGCGACATCCTGGAGTTTGAGAGGGAGCCAGTCAAGCTCACCATGGGCGAGGTGCTCACTCCCTTCCACAGTCTGAAGCTGGACATGGGCACAGAGAGACACCGACTGGAGCAGGTGAATGAAAGGAAGCACGAGACAGACGACAGAAATCACATGTTAAACTTAATGAAGACAGCAGTGAGGTGTTGTTAAAGCTTGTCTGTCATGGACAGCGTTTTGGCCTTTGTCCCCTGATGAACATGGTTCACTGCTGTCAGCAGATTTTGGATTGACAGCTTTGTATGTTGCTAAATGTCTGCAGGTGGAGGAGAGTTCTCATGTGACTGAGAAGTGGCTTGTGAACATTGAGGAGGAGAACGTCATGTCAGAGGTCAGCACACAAACAACAGACCAATCAATGATGACTCAGATGAAGATGTGATAACTCTCCAATAAGACATTGTGTGCATTCAGCTTCAGATTCACCTCCATTTTTCCACCAGGTCATTTTTACTTTGACGAAATGTGCTCTGCATTTACATTTTTATGGTGGGCATCACTTTGTTTAGTAAAAGATGTAATAACGTGAGAATAACGTCAGTGTGCGAGAGTTTGAGCAACATCTTGACTGACACATGAATTGGGAAATGCCGAAATGCTGCAAATTCAGAGGAGGCTGCAGGTCAGATGTGTGAGTCGGTGTGTGTGTTATCAGAAACAGTTTGTTGTTGTCATCCTGATGTGTTTTAATCTTTAGACTCATGTGACTGACGACGTGTCGAGGCCTGACGAGAACTCAGACCTGGACAACACTGGTAAATCCTCCATTTCACCTCAGCTGTGTATGTTGTGTTTGTGTTCTGTCATGTCTCCAAACTACAGGAAATAACAGCGGCTAGTTAAGAGATTAAAACAAAACTAAGTGTTTCACTCTGCAGGGGTCAACATGAACTTTAAATAACAGGTCGCCAGGCTGACAGCCAGGCCAAACTGAAAACATGGTCGCCATTTTATATTTGGAATAATTAAGATACCATGCAATTAAATGTCAGCTTTATTATTACAGTTCTTTGTAGTTTGTGTTGTATCCAAGCAGATAACCTTCGAGGCTGAAACATGAAGCCACAGACTGCAGTTCCTCTAATGTCCACTAGAGGCTGGCTTTAAAGATGCGAACACACCAAACAGACATCAAAGAACAAGCGGCGACGAAACCCAACTGTTGTGTCGTCTACGTCGCCTCACGTCACCCTGTGTCAGTTGCATTTGAACACACTACACGGACTACATCCGACGGCCAAGTAGCACGTACGTTCTGCGCCTGCGTGAGAGAGAGCGGAGTGAGAGAGTGGTACATCCTGTCAGCCGAGGGGTTTCCTATCTGTGCAGCCGAGCACCGCAGCACCTCCACGGACTATTACATCCAGATGGTCCCGGTGTTTCCTCCGCAGGCTCCACTTCACTCAGCTGCCCGATAAACCCGCTGCTTCTTCCCACTTTAACCTGAATAACAAACCAGGGCTCGGTGCTCCGGTTGGATCCAAACGGAGAGCCGGGGCTAGCTCAGAGACTAGCGGAGGCTAACTGGCTGTGCTTCCCTCCGGTCATGCTGCGGCTAACGCTCCGCTAGCCGCTCCCAGCTAGCTCCGGTTTGTTATTCAGGTTAAAGTGTGAAGAAGCAGCGGGTCTGTGGGGCAGCTGAGTGAAGTGGAGCCTGAGGAGGAAGCACCGGTTAGCCCCGGTTTCACTACAGGCAGATTCACTCGCTACAGGGGAGAGGAAATAAAACCTGAACAGCCAATCAGAGTGATCTCTCTCACCGACAAGCTCCGCCGCCGATTCAACATGCTCAATCAGCCGAAAAGCCGCCGACGCCAAAGTGCCAGCAGTGCAGGACACACCGCAAAAACTAGGCCGACAGATGCTCACTGACGACCCGACTTTGGTCGACGGCCAACCGTCAGCTTGGTGTGTCAGGGCCTTAAGAGCGAGTCAGTCCCCACAGACTCTGAAATTATATGAACACGACTGTCTTTTTATTTTTTCATGACCTGAAGAGATCCAGATGATCTGCGACGAGAAGATCGAGAGCTGTGAGGAAGCTACAGAGGTACGTTAACCTTCACTGACCTCAACTTACAAAATGTATACCTGAAAATACCTTGTTCATATGAGTTGGATTCTTTATTGTCAGATGGTGAAGAATCAAAACAAAGAAGTAAATGAGCCACGTTGAGACAAAGTGGAAAGTATAAAGGAAACAGTCGTGTCTGTGTTCAAGGGATTCATTCCTTCTTTTCAAGAGCATTTTGAAGAACGTGTGAAACGATGATTTGCATTCAGGGTTGTTTTTTGTAACATCTAGTCGGAGCAGAGACGTCTGAGTTGTGCTTTATCTATCGAAGTAGAGACACAGTCAACACGAAGCCTCTGTGGTTACTTTACAAAGAAACTCCAGATGTTCAGGGTTTCTGAAGCTCCATGTAAACACCAAGCAAAGGCCACTTCAAGTGCACTTAATGGTCGGATGTGTTACGGCCCATCTGTCCCCTCTCAGATGGACACTCTGGTGGAGAAGACCTCCGACATTGAAGTGGGACTGAAGAGGACCAGGAGTGGGCGGGTCCTCAGGTCCTCTACGGTCAGTCAGCCACTCAAAACTCATCATCTGTGTAAACAGTCTGGAAGTGACGACAGCAGGTTCCTCATACAGGAAAATATACACTTAAACCTTTTTATTAAAATAAAGTCATCACTCACACACGTCATATTAAACTGCAGTTCGACTGGTTGGTGTGCAGCCACAAGGCGATAATTCTAGTTCCTCTCTGTGATGGGTCTCTGTGTTTTCTTAAAGTCCAGTTCACATGAAGATTCATGACGAGACGAGATGAAACAAACACCTACTGTCAACACTCCTTTCTGCAACGTTCTGAAATGGTTTCATCTCATTGTGAATCTCTGGTCTGAACTGGACTTTAATGAACCATCAGAAGAACTGATGTCAGGGTATGAAATTAACAAAATATTTTGGGGGCAATTTTGGCCCCCATGGTCTAAAAAATGGGGGCATTTTCAAAATGTTTGGGGGCCATCAAAAAATTGTAATTATTTTCTAACAATAAGCACATGAAAAGCAAAACCAACTAAGATAGTGTCTTCACTCTTCAGTAGAAACCACTATAAATGAAACATAATGGGTTACATAAAGTTATGGTTGCAAAATATCACTCAGATTTCCTATAATTCAACCAGTTTAAATGTGATGATTTAACCATTAATCTACTGATTGCAGTACTAATGTTTCACCACATTACAGTTACTTTTACTGTTAAAAAGGCCAAATTACTATAAATTCCTTAGATGCAATCCTGGAAATAAGTTAATTTAAAATTTAACATTCATTCTACCTTAATTTTTCATTAATTTGTCATTGTGTCGACACAGATCACCCAAGGAATGGTTAATTTATACTTATGGTACAGCAAAGCCCCCTCCCCTTCTCTGTCAGATTACTCTCACGTAATCAGTGCAATCTCGTTGGTTATGTCTGGAAAATGAGTTGTAGACGTGACGGTAAATTAATTTAATGAAAATAAAATTATACTTTAATGTCAGATTGTAATACTGTTAAAAATATAAATACATATAGTTGTTTTGAAAACTTGGGGGCAATTTTGGCCCCCGCAACATGGCTTTTGGGGGCATTCTTGGATAAATTGCGGGCCAAATGGCCCGTGGCCCTTGCTAATTTCTGACACTGACTGATCTCTGTCTCTGAGCGTAGATCAGCCAAATTGTGCCCATAATGCTCTTTTGAGCATCTAAACTCAGTTTTCCATGATTAAATATGAGCTCACTCCTGTTATTTTATATCAGGGGTGTCAAACTACGGCCCGAGGGCCAGAACTGGCCTGCCAAAGGATCCAATCCGGTCCACTGGATGACTTTGCACACCTGATAGTGACGCACTTGTGAAGGCTAAGAGGTGCCAGCTTTCAGGAGCAAGTTAAACATTGAGTAGCTTCAGAGGCTTCTCCACCCCGACCAGAACACAGCTCTTTTCTTTCACTTTAGTTTGGTGTGGTGATGTTAGGATTATTACACAGGAGGAGAGATGTGTAGAAAAGGTCACACGTAACTACAGCGAGTAGTCGACTGAGTGAATGTGGAACAACTGAGAACTACTGTTGATGAAACTGCATTTATTCTTCTGAAGACACCAGTTTGTCACCTGTTTCATAAGTGGATTAGTGTTTTTAAAATGTATTTCTTTAAACAAAAAAAGGGAGAAATTTGGGGTGTTTGTTATTTTAAGGTTGTTACCTCCGCCGAGGAGGTTATGTTTTCGCCAGCGTTGGTCTGTTTGTCTGCAAAATAACTCTAAAAGTTCTGAACAGATTAATGAAATTTTCAAGAAAGGCTGATAATGGGACAAGGAGCAGATGATAAAGCAAAGTAGATAAAATAATAAAATGGCGGGAAATCAGAGCTGCTTGGCGGAGGTCTGCGCTCTCCGAGTGCTCTAGTTATGCAATGGTTTTCCTGGTGCGACCCACCTGTGATGAAATCAGACTGTATGTGGCCTGTAAACTAAAACAAAATGCTTTTTAAAAAGATGAAATCATCAACGAAATGACTAACGATAGAGAAGATGGAAGATGACCGTCTCTTATGACTGTCTCTGTTTTGTGTGTGTGTTAACAGAAGACAGACCTGACCGACAACAAGCCGACGGCTATGAAGGACAAAGCGGTGAGAAAACAGTTTTTATAAACTCTGATTTGATCCTAATTAAGTTATTCAATAGAAACATCAAACGGTGAAGCAGCTGCTGTTTGATAAGGAGCTCTTCAGTCTTCATGGTGTTTCAGAGCTCCAGTTTCACATCAGATCACTGAATACGCAGCGTTTGTTAGATAAAGATGATTTTAGATTTAAAAAACATTTCCACAGAAGACACAGGGTGGATGTTGAAATGGAAAAAGCGTAGGAGCCCTGTTTGTTTCACAGATGAGTCAGCGCTGATCGCTCTGGTCTCAGAGTGGGATGTTGTCTGTCAGTAGATTCTCTGCTCGACTCTTTTTTTTACCAGCCGGGTGCGTCCTCTGCTGTGTGCAGGTCTCTCAGTACGACATCCCCAACAGCCAGGAGACGCCGACCACCTCCGCACCCAAGAAAAGACCCAAATTCAGCGAGCCCAAAGAACGCTTCTGACCTCACTGCTGACACAGTGATTCACACTGATGGGTTTGGATTTCAGTTCTGATCACAACAAGTTCTGCAGCTGTTTTCTGAGGGAGTTCTTTAGCATCCAGTTTGGGGTTGTGATGTCACAGTTTGTTTGAACGCAGCACAGATTTAAAATGTGAACAGGATTTTCAGGAGTACTGATGAATAAATGTTTTAATTAACAGTGTTTCAGGTGACTTTATTTTACTGTTGTTCTACTGAATAAAATACAAAAAAAAAAATACATCTAATGTCATGTGATGTCACCAATTATTGGTTATAAAGTCAAATCAGCTCAACTCAGCATGTGTTTGATCAAAAAACCAAAGGCAATAATGGTCAGTGATGGAGTAGGTCAGAAGGAAAGGATTACCTTATACTTGGATGGTGTTGGTGTTAAATGAATGCAGAGGATTTGGTTATAGATTTTTCTGCCAGCCTGCTCCCTAAATGACGCCCTTGTCATAACAGGTCAGTGAGCACTGAGGTCAGATGTGTTTGTGATGACGTCATGGAGGATAGAGTCAAACAGATGCTCAGCAGCGTATGTTTAAGAACATTTTACATGTGTGATGGTGTGTGTGTCAGAGTCTCACTGTACACACACCTAAGCAGGGGCGGAGGTATAAAAAGAGCCGTGTGCAGAGACTGCAGTCATGCCATGAGGACGCTGTGATGCGTGCCAGCATTTTATGTGAGTCATATTTTATTAGCTGTAAGCTGGCAGTGATGAGGAACCCTGTGTAAATGTACTCAAGAGAACGCTGAACGCTGACAACGCTGCTGCAGGAGAACATCTTAAAGCAGCAGTGTGGAAGATTTAGGAGGATTTAGTGGCGTCTAGTGGTGAGGATTACAGATTACAACCAGCTGAAACTTCTCCTGGTCAGAATTCCTTCAGTGTTCATTGTTGAGGAGCTGAAGTATCCACAGAGTCTCTTCCTCCCAGACACAAACACACCAGCTGATTTAAACTGGTGAAAACACTGATAAAACACTTTCACATTTAAAAATCTGTGTTTTTCCGACGCTGCTTGTTGCAGAGGGACGTCTAACTACAGTGGCTGATCCAAAAACACGAATGGCCCTGTGTAGAGCCAGTAGCCCCTTTTACACTGTCTTCTCAAGGCGGGAATATCACGTCGTTATGCCTCCTCCCTCTGCTGTATTTGAGGTACCATTGCAGAATTGAGGGACAGAGTTGTCTCGCCTTTAGCCGCTGCGGGACATAGCAGTGACTGTATTAACAGGACAGTTGGCAAGACAGCTGTGACATTTTGACAACGTGTTTTGTGTGTGACCCAGAGATTTAAAAAAAGTTGCTGTTAGCAGTCAGCAGCTAACTCAAAGAAGAAGAGCAGCGGCTGTTAGCAGTCAGCAGCTGACCCAAAGAAGAAGAGCAGCGGCTGTTAGCAGTCAGCAGCTAACTCGAAGAAGAGCAGCGGCTGTTAGCAGTCAGCAGCTGACTCAAAGAAGAAGAGCAGCGGCTGTTAGCAGTCAGCAGCTAACTCAAAGAAGAAGCGCAGCAGCTGTTAGTAGTTAGCATCTAACTCAAAGAAGAAGAGCAGCAGCTGTTAGCAGTCAGCAGCTAACTCAAAGAAGAAGAGCAGCGGCTGTTAGCAGTCAGCAGCTAACTCAAAGAAGAAGAACAGCAGCTGTTAGTAGTTAGCAGCTAACTCAAAGAAGAAGAGCAGCAGCTGTTAGTAGCAGCTAACTCAAGGAAGAAGAACAGCAGCTGTTAGCAGTCAGCGGCTAACTCGAAGAAGAAGAGCAGCAGCTGTTAGCAGTCAGCGGCTAACTCAAAGAAGAGCAGCAGCTGTTAGTAGTTAGCAGCTAACTCAAGGAAGAAGAGCAGCAGCTGTTAGCAGTCAGCAGCTAACTAAAAGAAGAAGAGCAGCAGCTGTTAGTAGTTAGCAGCTAACTCATCAATGAGGTCCAGGAGCTCCTTACCCTCTGAGCAGAGGACGAGATCAGCCGCCATATGACAGGGATGCTAAATGACTGTTATTAGCATGTGATGTCACTGTTATTGTTTATAAAGAGCTGCCGACACGTATGTTATATGTCACACTAGAGGCTGACGCTGTTGTGTTACATGTCACGCCTCTTTTGATTTTCTTCAGCCGCCTGGAAAACATGAGAAAACGTGAAAACTTGGGCGCTACTCTTGCGCCTTTTCTTTGCCAGCTTTCAACAGCGTGGCGGCAGGTTGCGTCTGAGGTTGCTAAGCGACCATACCGGCACTGTATCACAGCCTATTTACCTGAAATCCTGAGTGCAGATCTTCTTCCTGTTGTCTGTGGAACAGATGTGACGCTCTGCACTAACATGATCAACTTCTCCTTCATATTTTTCACACACTGATATTTACTGAAGAAAGAAAGATATCTGTCAGCTGTGATTGGTTGGTCCTCGTCACTATAGGGCCACCTCTGTGTAAACAGGGCTTGAGTTTGCTCATTCTGAGGGAACCAGAACAATTCTTAATATCAGCTGATTACACACTGAAGAAACACACTGATTATATTATATTCAGTTTCTGCAGATGTTTCCTCCTGAATTCATCACACTGGACCTTTAAAGGTCAGTGATGATGATGAGTTTTTACATGCCATCATTTCACTGTGATGGTGTTGATATATGTGTGTGCTGCTGTGTACAGTGTGTGTGTTGGAATAGAGTGAATTGATTGGTCAGTGCAGAGATGCAGCTCTGGATGCTGTACAGTCGTAACGCTCAGCAGCTGCTTCCATCAGCATTAAGACGCTGTCAGACTCTGGCGCTCGCTCCTCGGTTTGGAGAAAGGAAATACAGTCGTCTCTCACAGTTTAAAGATTGAACAGCTTCCTGCCAGTGAAAACCTCGGGGACAGAGAATTCAACTCGACCTGGCTCTTGAAAAACAAACCTCCATCTTTGAGCGGAGCCAGAAATGCCACCATTTGCATGTGAGGTGCCTTAAATGAAGCTGTTAAGTGAAAGTGGATTATATCTGTACACGGTGACCTTTGGGCCCAGATAAGGGCCCATCAGCAGCCTCCCGCCCGCCAAGCTGTGTGTTTTTAATCTCCTATTGTTTTTCCCAGAGAGAGGGACATTTGCTGATAGACTGCCTTAACCCACTGCGGATCAATACTGCAGGAAGCCTTTGTGATGCATATCCAAACAGCCCCCACCTCGCTGTGTCTGCAGCAGGCCGGGGGGTGGTGAGGAGGTGCGGAGGGGGAGAGACTCCATCAAATCAGACCTCACTTCCTAACGCGGGCATTGTCTTGGCCACCACATTTATTTCATTGTCCGTGTGCTTTTTATGGGTATTTCTGATAACAGAGAGGCGTGGAGCAGAATGGACAGGGAAATCCACAGTGGACAAAACCCACACAGCGCCGCATTGACACGCTTTATGAGCTGTGAAATGAATCAGGGTTAGCTAACCTCACAGCCCCACTCCTGTGGCATTTCTCAACACTTTTTATTATTTTGACAGCGGGGGTTCTCTGGGTATCGATAAGTGATGAAATGCAATGAGGGTAAAGGCACCTCTGCAGGTCTGCTCATGTATTGTAGATAAGCAGTGTCTGTGCTGTGGACATTACAACAACACTACATCACAGAAATGAAGCGATAAATAGCAGCCAACAGGCAAAATGTATCCAATGGCATGGAAAATAGAAAGAAACGTACAGTGGAAAATACACCGACTGAGAAATGCTCTCATCTGGCACCCACAGGAGTGAAACCCTCGCACAGCGGAAAGTTGGAGGCACAAAGACTTGAATATGGGACACTTTGAGTCATATCTTTGTTGAGAATGAAAAAATATTAGAGCGTGTTTTAAGGTTGGACCAACGTTCCCATCGAGCACGTTCCAAATATCTGACGTCGGAGAGGCAAAGGAATCTAAATTGCAATTTTATTTCGCCTCCACCCTCAATCCTTCACTCGGATCCTGGGACTCTACATCATTTCTGTACACACACGTCTCCCAGAAATGAATTCTGAAATTAAATTCAGGGACACACGTCCAGCGGCCAGTGTTAACAGATCAATCAGTTGGCCAAACAGCAGGAGGGGCCCGCCGGACGCCTCTGCAGACCAATCACAAATCTGGGTTCGGCCTGTCTGAGTCGATAGCGCAGGTCCAGGGCCGCCTGGGTACGGTCAAGGCAAGACACACTGACAGACTGATGGACAGACAGCCGCAGTCCATCCCAGGGCTCCATATAGATTAAAGCCAGCTTGTGTGAGCCTATAGTCGCGCTGCGGTGATTGTGCCTGCAGGGCCTATAGGCCCCAAGGGGGGGCTGGGCTTTACAGCAGGAGGGGGAGGAGCGAGGGATGGAGTGGACATCTAGCCCAGGGACCGTGACCCCTTTGACCTTGCCAGAAGGGCAGCAAATGTTTCCGAGCTGATTAGCGCTTCCCCAGCAGAGTTCTCCGCTCACTGTTAACCCTTTGGAATCAGACTGAGGGCAGAGGCGTTGGAGGAAATCCAGAAAATATGTCATTCAAATATTTTACAGGAAAAAAATTCAGGCGATTTAAAAAAAAGAGAATTCAGTGAGATCAGATTTTAAATAAATGCACAAGAGAACTAATCCTACACACAGCAACACACTGTATGTATGTATGACAATAAATATTTATGTTTTGTATTTAATCTCAGTTTTATCCCTTTTATTCTGTTAAATACTTCTCTGCAGCTCAGAGGGAAATGTTGAACATTTTATTTTATTTCATTTCATTTCATTTCATTTCATTTATTTGGCAGCTGCAGCTGGTTTGCAGATCAGACTGTGACAAACAAAATATATTATCAGCTCATGAAATATGATGCAGATCCAATAATAGATCAAATAATATGACATATAATAATTCTGCATATTGACCACATTGACTTTTGATCAGAATCAGAAATACTCAATCGATCCCTGAGAGGAAACTGTGATTCGTTACAGTCGCTCTGATGTAAAGAATAGAGAATTATAAGAAGTGAGGATAAGAGCATGTAAATATAAAGTAATAAAATAGAAATGAAAATGTTTATTATGCTACAAACTTTAACACTAGTACTTAAAATATTAGGAATAAAAATATATCTTCACTGCACTGAGTCTGTCAGTGTATATAAATATACAGTATGTGCTCTGTGCTACATCCCACTGTATAAACTAGTGCGTTACATTCA